GTGGGGCCTGCAGCGCCATAGGGGTGGCAATCCCACAGGCCAGATCCAAAGCCCTGATGGACCATAGTTTGCCCACCCCTGGTATAAACTAAAAACTTTTAAATTTGTTTAGAAATAGGGCTCACTCCTTCAAGCTCTCTGCATATCTCTTCCATTGACTTCAGTTGGCATTCCAGACACAGAGAACTTAACGGGCCCCTAGTCTTCCATTCCTGGATATAAAATGTTCCCAATATTAAGATTAATTAATTTTGGCTTAAATCATTAATTTAGATCGATCAATCTAAGAGGTGCAAGACAGAACTTGCTGCCCAGAGGGGGAGGGTTCAAGTAGTTTTAAGCCTCCACTGAGCTCTCCTGATTCTGCGTTGTTCCAGGGGCTGGAATGGTCTCTGGCATAACTTAATACAGCTCTTGAGGGCTGGCTATGAGCAGCTGTGCTATCTAGAATCCCTGCAGTGCTATGTGCTGCTGCTTCACGCTGACACATCCCTATGCTGGGGCTTGAAAACAGTCCTCTGAAGACAATCTGTGGCTGTCTTCCTCAGTTCCTGTGCTGGGGGAATTATCTGGGGTTTTTAGAGCCCTTTATGCTGCTCTGGTCCCTTTACTCAGCATATACAAACCAGAGTGGGTGAGAATCTCTGTCTTTGTCTTTTGTATTCAATAGGGACCATTTCTAAGTGCAGAACACACCTTTGTCATTGGTGTAAATGTTAATTTTAATACTCAGATAAAATTATATAGAGAAGGCTATTTCTACTCCCTCTTTTACTCTGAGAGTAAGTCAGGAAGCATTCCATTTGAAGAAAGCAAAAAAGTTATTATTTTGTTTCAGTCTTCTGAAGGGACAATAAAGTTCCTGCTTCACACAATTTTAGCTACTGGTATGCTTAGTTCTTCCCACTTATTGAAGATGGGTTCTTAAACGCCTCTGGCATTCTTGTCTTATTAGTAAGAGACCATAGCAGGGCATACTGATGGTATTATTCTGACAATGTTTCATTACTTTGCTTCAGATCCATGCTGCAGTAAATGCAGTTTGGTCATTTGTAATTGAAACTATCTCCCTGCAGGTTATGGTTGATAGGAGATGTTCTATGGGGTAGCGTTTGATTATCTCTTGCTCTATAACGGTGAGCTTTTGTCTTCCTGTAGACATGTTGTTAGAAATTGTGGTTGTACTACCTAAAACTACTTTAGGGTAACTACCACCGTGCTCCTTCGTTCAAATAGTGGCACTAAGGTGCAAAGATTGACCCAAGGAGTCTTCTTGTTTCACAGGAAAGAAGTGATCAGTTTCCAGTTTATCATTTTTGAAAAATGTATCCAAGACCTGAACTGAATAAGCTATTAAAAATGCCAGCAAAATGATAATTTTCAAACTACTGCATTAACCTGAGCAAAATTGTTAAAATGGACTTAAGGTTGACAGTTGCTTGCAGTATTGTTGTAGCCATGTTGGTCCCAACATATTAGAGAGACAAGATGGGTGAAGTAATGTGTTTTATTGGACCAGCCTCTGATGGTGAAATAGACTAATTTTTAAACTACACAGAGCTCTTCTTCACATCTGGGAAAGCTACTCAGGGTGTCACAGCTAAATACAAGGTGGAATAGATTTTTGAGCATAAGTAGTCAACACATTTTAAGGCCACTTCATCTTTGGACATAAGTTGGTCCAATAAAAAATATTACTTCACTTACTTTGTCTCCCTTAAGGTTGACAGTATGTATTAATAACTTAAGGATAAAAAAACCCTGGAGTTAGAGCATTAGAGAGCCAGCAAATTCAGAATTAAAATTTTAAGAAGCACAAACATTTTAAAAGTATGCTAATAAGCAGTTAAGGTTACCCAAACAACATTAACCCTGACCTCATGATAATAACAGTCTCTCATCTTTCTTCCCTTAGGATGTTTGCTAAATACTCCAGCTTTTGTCTAATTACAGAAAAGGGCAACAAAAATGATTGAGTATGGAAAAGCTTCCATATGAGGAGAGAGTAAAAAGACTGGGACTGTTCAGCTTGGAAAAAAGACGACTAAGGGGGGATATAATAGAGGTCTATAAAATGGTGTGGAGAAAGTGAATAAGGAAGTATTATATACTCCTCCACATAACACAAGATCCAGGGATCACCCAAAGAAATTAATAGGCATCAGATTTTAAACAAACCAAAGGAAGTACTACTTCACAAAGGAGGCTAGAATCAGCACAACTTCTGTATGAGTGAGTATGGGATCCTAGTTTTGTGGTCACTGATAAAACTAACTATTTAGTATGGACTCTGATTTTTCTTAGGAGAGCATTATGGCTCAGAGATATTATCATTTAGGTGTCTTAACCACATTTCCATACTGTCAAATGTTTTTGTTTCTTTTAAAATTAACCTTAACTCTTAACTGATGGTCTTAACTTGAAAAGCTTCTCCCTAGATTTTCTTCATGGCAGAAATAGTTACACACAGTGATGATGTAATGTGTTGAAAGAAAAGGTGACTTAAACCTAAACTCTAGAATACCAATGTTGTAATTTAAAAGAATTTATTAAAACCATATAGAAACTACATATGAATCTGTAATATATTTAAGATTAAATGAATATATAGTTGATTCTGTAAGAAGGTAATACATTCTTGTTTATTTGACATGACCATATTTTATTAAATTATGCAGAGAAATACTAAGAGATGTGAAAATGTACAGAACGACCTTTATCCTGGCATTTCTGATGCCACTGTAATATAATCCCTTGGCCTACAGTAAACCAGTGTGAGAGAACATGTGTCTGCTAATCAGTAGGCATTTAGCACTGCTATTCTGGCTTCTTCACATAGTGGATCCAATTTGCCATCACCTCCTAAAGGAGAAAGATAACACTTACAAAGGATATGCAGAGTAAATAAATTTTCATCTCATGCTCCTCCTCCTTGTCATAGCATTCATATATTTCTTTAAGTTCTCCCATTCAAGTACTGGAACCCAACTCAACCCTGCCTCTTGTGTGATATCTGACAGGATTCCCAAAAAGGCGGTTAAATCTTCAGACCACCATAAATCCTGATGTCATGGAATTATGGTAGTATCTGGGTTTTCCCGGGATCCCTACACAAGTAACAACCAGGACAGATCTTGGTGAACTGAATAATCTGATGACACTGGACTCAGTACTTGGAGTGAAGAACTTCAAAGAATACAGATATGTTGCAGGCAATGGATGTACACTGCTGATGATTCAGTAGATGGATAGCACTCCTCTCCATAAGCCAGTATTTAATCAGTGCACCAGCATGGAATTAAGTGTTGTTGGCAGTGACATCGTTCAGATAACAAAACTGAAATTCTTGCCACATGTAATCGATAGTGATTCTATGACATTTTTGAACAGATAGAGGTTAATTTGAGCTGGCTGGAAAATGGAAATTCCTCATGGCAAAAAAATTCATGCTTTTGGGGGAAAAAAGTCCCAAATTGAGGTGAAAAGTCAGACTCCCAGGAAGGCTTTTGCCAATTTCACTTTCTCCCTGCAGGCTGAAAGTGAAATTGGCAAGAACCTTCCAGGTGAGCAACCAGGGAGGTGTCATTTTGACAAAACTGGATAGGGAAAATTTAAATTTTGCAAAAAGGGCAGTTTCTGTTAGAAAATCATGTGCTGAAAACTCCCAATCAGTTCTAATATTAATTAGTGTTCTGGCCAAACTCCAGTATAGGTTATTAGATGCAGGTATACTAAATTCCACGTGCAGTTTCAGTTGAGACACGCTTCACCTTTTGTCCTAACCTGCTGTGCCCCACACCAAATGCGGCTTTACTCTGAAATGACCCTGTTATATATCATCTTACCTACCTCACATAACTGTGAGGATAAATTAACTATGTATCATACTTATATGGCCCTATTACTGTTGACTCTGAGAGCCTCACAATCTTTAATGCAGAGAGACAAGGTGGGTGAAGTAATATCTTTTATTGGACCATCTTCTGTTGATGAGAGAAACAAGCCTTGAGCTAACACACAGCTCTTCTTCAGGTCTTTAATGAAGTTCTTCTTCACAATACCCTTGTGAGATAGGAAAGTACTATTTCCTAATTTCATAGACGGAGAACTAACATACAGAGAGACTAAGTGACTTACCTAAGGTCAAACAGCAAGCCTGTGATGGAGCAGAGATATTCTTCTGGGTCGTCAAGCTCCAAGCTACTGCCCTAGCCACTGAGCCATCCTTTTTCTTACTGTGCACTTTAAGATGCCTCATGTATAAGGCATTTTAGAACGTCTAAGTATTAATGTTAAAATTGACAGAAATTTTACTATGCCTTAGGAAGTGCTACTATTTCAAAACTAAATAGCTTTTAAAGAGGAGATACAGTGAAGAAACTCCTATACTTACCAAAGTCCAGGTCATTAATGTTGCACTGGAAAACAGTCTCTCCATTCACTATGAGTTCTACATTATTCCAATCTGGTATCTTTTCTAGAATAAGTTGGTGACCCTCCGCTTGCAACACAGCTACAAAAAGAGCAGAAAAAGAGCATTTGCTTGGTTTTCCATGAACTTTTAGTATTTCTAAATTCTGGAATTCATGAGAGCAAGTATCTGATAATAAGACACAGTGCAGGCAAGCACTGTGCAAGATTACCCACAAAATTCTACCTATTCTAATTTGTAGCTTCACTATTATTACAGTAATGGGCCTGCTTTGATTGAAAAACTCCACTCTTTCTCTATTATAGTCTTGCATTAAAAGAAAGGCAAGAAGCTCACTATGCACTTAAATATGCTATTAATTGGCATAACAGCCATGAGGAACACAATTAATTTGTAGGTAATTTCAAAAGAAATCTCCAATAAAACGTTAAGACAGTGCTATTGTGCAACTGGAGCAGCAGGCAATCAACCTTTAACTGTACTGTTGACTGGCGCACACATTCATCTTGTTTCTGAAAGAGTGCTTAGAGAATTATTTCTGAATATAATTTAATATTTTGGAGATTTTCTAAAGTAGTTGGAGAATCTGACCAAACATGTCCTCTGTATGTTTTTCCAAAACTCGATTTGAGATCCATTCTGAACAGACTGATCCATGTTGGCCACCTGCTTTCACAAAGTAGGAGGGAACTAGTTTGTTGCAGCACATTGTACAGTGCTGACTTAAATTCAGCAAAACTGAGGAAATAGGAGGACTGATTATTAATATAGTTCTAGCAATTCATAATTAATGTATTGTTCTGGGTTGGACCTTCATATGCTTTGTAAATGACATCTTACGCTATGTGCGTGTGTGTTTTTGGTAGTCTAAGCAAAATCCTGTAGTAGTGTACCATTAATTACTTATCAGTAGAAAACGAAAAGAGTTTGAGCTAATATTAAGATTAAGACTAATGCAAAACAGTCCTTTTCAGCTCAGTGTTCCAGTCAATGTTTCTTTCAGAAAAGTAGAGAGAAGTATCAATTTTTTGCATCTAATTACTATTACAGTTGTTATGACTTTTAAGTATTGGCATGTGTCCACTTCATTGTTTAATCAGTTTAGCATAACTAGAGCCAACTGTGAAAAATATGATTACAGAATTTTAATGTAACTTCTTGTGAAATTACAGAAAGTGGCTCAGCAAGGAGTCCACTTAATAAGGTAGTGCTCCTTGAGTTTCCAGCAGTCTGACAGTTTGGGAGAGGCTTCATTAGATACTTCTGAATGCTTTCTGGAGAGTTTTAATGGTCATCTGTGATAATTAGCTCTATAAAGTTCATATTTACAAAATATAAACTACTTGCAGCAGGTGGTATTGCACTTCTGTACTGTCCACTCCACCATTTATCTAATGTCCTCTAAATTAATTTCTGAAAGGCATGGAGCTCAATGAGGGACATACTCAAACAATTTCATTAGTTTAGGATCTGATTCTGCAAAATCCTTACCCATGTGTGTTTCTTACACGTTCCACTGATTTCAGTGGACATCTTTACATTATTAAACACAACATACACAAGTAAGAGTTTGCTGAATCAGACCCTTAATGTTCATTTTTTCTTTTGTTTAAATAAAGATATTGCAATAGAATAAATAGCTATACAATTTATTATACGACAACTTATTTTAGGTGCATTTCCAGGTGTGGATAGGCAGAGGGTTTTTTTGTGTATAAGCTATTGTAAATAGAAATAACAATACTCAATATTGGTGTACATCAGAGAAGAGTTTTGCAGCCATATTAATATAAATCATTTTAATTACAATTCTTCTCTTGTTTGGGACACTGAAATGAATATATTTTCCCACAGCTAAACATAACTCTTCTAGCCATAGACAACTCTACTCTACTTCTCTCAGCACTGCACTAAAGGGTTAAAAGCTTCTTTTGCTACCTTTATACTATTTACATCTCAAGCATAATATACTGAGCACCTCCAGCTCAGTTCCCAATTCAGAGGTCTCAGCTATGTACTGAGGGTGAAATCCTGGCTCCACTAAAATAAATGGGAGTTTTGCCATTGATTACAGTGGAGCCAGAATTTCACCTTTAGCCTCAAGGTATCCTTCTGTCTACTTTCTATTAGTTGTTGTGAGTTGTCAGTGATCTGTTAAAAGGAAGACTAAATAAGATTACTTTGCTGGTCTCCAAGTATCTTATCATGAATCTATGTAAACTATGAAAATACATAGAATTTAAGTTTATTTCACGCTTAGCAAAGCTTATGTTTTTAATGGATTTTTGTGTAACTGGAAAACTATAAGAATAAAAACCATGGAAATAGGGTTACCATTCGTCTGGATTTACCCGGACATGTCCTCCTTTTTGTGCTAAAAATAGCGTCCGGGGGGAATTTGTAAATAACTCAAAATGTCCGGGATTTCCCCCCTCCCCTGGCAGAGCAGAGCGAGCGGCTGGGAGGGCTGCAGGAAAGTCACGGGCTGGATTCCGGAGCAGCTGTAGAGGAGCTCCGCCCTGCATTCTGAGCCGGCAGCTCTCCCCTGCAGCCCGGCTCCGGCAGCACTGTGCAGGGCCAGGGACCGGGTTTTGTTGTGCTGGGGAGCT